AGTGAACGGGCAAGCCTGTTAGTTTTGGTTCCAAAAAGAGACAGGTCACAATACAGTTTTAGAAAACTTCACATGGTATTGAAATTCAACTTTTACCCAATGCTGCATATAGTTGAGTTAATTGAACAGATTGGGAAAGCAGAATTTATCTGAACCCTGGATTTGAGAAGGGGTGATTGGCAAGTTTCTTTGTCAGAAGGAAGTACACTACATTTAACCCCCTGCAGACCCGTATCAATGAACTGTGCTTCCATATGGACTACATAGGGCTCCAGCTACATTTCAGCAACTGTGGCCATTCTTTTAAAGGAATGTGAGATACACACCTCCGCATATTTGGATGATGTGATTATCTATAGTACCACTTAAAGGGAGCATCTAGAACATGTAGAGGAAGTGTTCCAACAGATGAAGAACCTGGATTAACAGGAACCTCTGGCAAATCTGAATGGGCCCAGAAAGAGGTCAAATATCTGGGTAATTTATTAGGGTGAGGGCTTGTGAAAGCTCAGATAAAGAAAGTGCAGATTATTCTTGAGTGTCCAAACCCAAGAACCAAGATGCATGCAAAATCCTTTTTAGGGATCATAGGAGGATATAGGTGGTTTATTCCTCACTTTTCCACATTTGCTGTGCACCTTACCAAGCTAACCAAACAGAACAAAATAAGATGACCTGGACAAATGAATCTGAACAGGCCTTCCAGGCACTGAAGAAAACAATTGGTGAACAACCAGTACTTCAGAACCCTGATTTTTCTCCTGAATTTATAGTCCAAGTTGATGCTTCAGGAGTCAGCCTAAAAGCAGTTTTTTTGCAAGAAAAAGAAGGGATACAACATCCAGTGGCATATGTGAGCGCAGTTATGTTACAAGAGACTAAATATGCCTACTGTAGAAAAGGAATGGTGAGTCATAAAATGGCAGGAGAGTCTGAAGTTCTATCTGTACAGAAGATCCTTTGTTCTTGAAATCAACCAAAAAGATCTACAATGGCTGCAGAGTATGAAAGATCATAATAATAATTCCAGTATAAGTAGGTGGCACCAAGCACTGCAGCCATCTGATTTCACCATTTGATAAAAAACAGGGCATACCAATTTAGTGTCAGGCTACTTAACTCGGTCAACCCCTAAACCTAACCCTAAAGGAGACGGGGGAGAAAATGTGGAGGGAAGAAAAAAACCCAAGCAGCTGTCTCCAATTAGGTAGTCCACTCAAAGGCTGTTAGGAGCTGGAATGGCCTGGGCCTTCCTAAGCCAGACCCAGCTCATTCCAGGGGCAAGAGGAGGAAGAGGCAGCACCCAAGAAGACTGCAAGGACAGAGGAGGCAAGAGGAGGGGAAAACTCCTTGGGGAAAAGGTCATCCTGGCTCATCAGGCAATAGCTTGGTGACAACATCTAACTTCATGAGTGGCTGGGGTTTGAGACACACCCCTCTTGTGAGCATCTCCCATTGGCTAGCTTAGGTGGTTCCCCGTCTACCAAGCTGGAGTCTGTGGATCGCATTTTTAGGTGATCTCTCTCTCCTTATGCATTGTATAGGGAGCCTAGGTGCTTAACCCAGCTTTGTGGATCCTATTGCTGTTCCAGTGATTTTCTAGATACCTACAAGTTAGGTGTTGTAATGGTCCAGGCCTAAATGTCATTTTAACTATGGTCCTATTAAAGACAATGGTAAAATTCCCACTAAAAATCCCATCCTCCATGTTTACAGATTGAAGAGGCAGTTATCTAATTCTTAGCCCTGAAGCACCTGCTAACATATTCTGTAGTTTATACTAAAAACACAACTTCAATACTGCAGTGTGAACACTGAACATACTAACGATCCCATTTATTTCAATTGGTGTGGGCCCAAATAGGCCTCATCCTGATCTCTACTAATCAGAGATTGGCTTAAGTCTGAAGGACAAGATTTAATACTCCTTCCAAAATTTGTGTTGTCATTAATTATAATAATGCTGGATGTTCCTTATATCCATATTAATATCCACTCTCTTAATGACCTCAATGACTTCCTGTGTCAATGAGTTCCATGGTTCAACTACATAGTGTGTGAAAAAGTATTTCCTCTTATCAATTTTACCTTTTAATTTAATTGAATGTCCCCTTGTTTTTGTATTATGACATAGGGAGAACAGAAACTCCCAATCTACCTTCTCTAGATTATTAATTTTTCTAAATACGTTTGTTATGTCTTATTTGTCTCCTTTCTAAGCTAAACAATCCCAGTCTTTTCAATCTCTCTTCATGAGTTTTTCAGGCTTTGATCAATCTCATCACTCTTCTCTGAACCTTCTCTAGTTCTGAAATATTCTTTTTGAGATTGGGTGACTACTGTTATTCCAGGTGAGGTCACACCATTTATTCATATAAAGTTATTATCATAGTTTCAATATTATTCTCCAGCTATTTCTTTATTCATTCTAATGTCTTGCTTTTTGGACTGCAGCTGCACATTGTGCAAGTCTCCACTGAGCGCTCTACAATGATGCTCGGGTCCCATTCTGGGGTTGCTACATTTAATTTAGAAACCTATCAGATGTAGTTTGATTTTTCCCCCTCCAATATGCATTACTTTTGTATTTGTCAACATTTAATTAAATTTCATTTGCCATTGTGTTGCCCATTCATCTACCTTGTTTACTTCTCTCTGAAGTTCCTCAGTCCTCTCTGGTTGTGACTAACCTAAATAACTTCGTTGCAAAATTTGCAGATATCTTGCTATGTATCCCTCCGCTTTCCAGATAAATAATATATTAAATAACACAGGATCTGATTTTGCCATCGTGAAAATTGACCATTGAATCCTAATCTGGTTTCTCTTTCCTAGCCAGTTTTTGATCCAAGGCAATACTTTGCCTCTTATTTCTTGTCAAAAGCCTTCTCTATTAGTATACTGACACATTAAACAATTCTAAGACACTACTGAGACTCAATTTTCCTTTGCTAAATTCATATTGGTTAGACCAGATGAAGTTTAGTATTTTATACATCTTATTTCATGATTACTCAGTTAACAATATGTTTTCTGAAATAGTAAATATAATTCTAGAAAGTCTTAAGAACACTAATACTATGATCCCTTTATTATTGCTCACCATCCTCCTGTGAATGATATTTTCTATTAGACGGTATTAAAGCTATGTACCAATGACCATCTTGGCTGTTTTGCCTCTATTCTTCATCATTGTATGCAGTGTTGTTGTAGCTGAGTCAGTCCCAGGATATTAGAGAGGCAAGGTGGGTAAAGTAATATCTTTCATTGGACCAACTTTTGTTGGTGAGAGAGACAAGCTTTTTGATTTAAATAATTTTAATCTTGTTTCCATTCGTACTTTTGATATTTTCCAAAAAAAAGTTTGATTCGCATTGATTGGTAACCATTAAAATATGTTGATTTGCAATTAAATATAGCTCTTTACCTTAAATTTGGTGCTTCTTTTTGCTAACCAGTAGGATACATTATATGTATACACATAAGTACTTATATAGCTTTACTTATACTTATTCAGATTCCTACTTTTTTATGATTTTTCTGATGTTAGAAAATGGTGAATGATGCATTTCTTACTTACTAGATGATGATTTTTTTTTAATTTGTGATTTATGTCAAGCTTTGCTTGGGTGCAATTTGAATTTAATTAACCATGCACAAAAACATTTTAAATTTGTTTTATTGGTTGAATAAAATGAATAGGCTGGGTACCTAAGAATAAGTGTATAAAAGTTGATCAAAACATGTTCTGCATTTTAAAATGATGTATTAAACGATGTATCATATGTAATTAGTGAATTGAACTAATTGTTTATGGTCACCACTGTCCTTCGATATTTTAGAATAGTGGATCTCATCCTCTCGCATCTAATTTTTAATTCATAGATTGGAAAGGAAAAACAAGCTTTCCTGCATTTTCAACTCTCAGTTGGTCTCTTTAAACTTTGAACTCATTGAACGGAACTAGCTGAATAAACTGAAATGAAGAAAATATTCTCTCTGCACTTGCAAAAGAGGTTACCACTGTCAAAAACTCATTTAACACTTCAACAAACTCTGGTTCTACGTCTTTAGCCAGTGACTTCCTCCAGTTAAGTGGTTTGACTTTCTTCAAAATGTCAACAGCAAACATGTACTGCTTAATATTATTTTTAATTTAATTTACATGATTTTAATAGATTATAGTAAGTTTGGGCCTTAACATAGATTGTCATAGTTTCAAATGTAATTTTAATAGGTTTATTTAAAAAAATAAACCAGAATTTAATTTAAATAAAAAAAAATCTGTTTTTTAAATCATTCATTTTATCCACCCTGTCAAGGAGCAAAAAATGCTGACCTTGAATCCAATAGACAGGACATAGCTTCGGGAAGCTTGTGAAATTCTCCTTCTTTTCACCACACAATTGCTGGATAGCTTCAGGGATGCGCCTGTTCCTCATGCTGGGTAACATGAGCTTAATCCAGGTGGCCTATTAATGATGGTTCATATGAAGACTCTCCTGATTTTATCTGAGTAACTCTTGATTTCAAACCAATGTAAATGACAAATGAATCAGGCCAACGAGTGTTTTGGTCTCGACAACTTTAACTACCAAATACTACCCTGTTCACGACTACAGACAGCTAATAAACTATGAACTTGCTAGCATTTTCAACCTATGTAGCCCTAGGAATTAGGCTCCAGATCTCAGCCACAGACAACACCTGGAAGAGCTTGATTATCAAAGGTGTCGAGCACCTGCAGCTGCCATGATCATCATTAGGAGCTAGGGTGCTCAGCACCTTTGAAAAATCAGCCCATTTCTATTTAGGTGATTGAATCTGAATGTAAGTGCCTAAATTCTGGCCTGTTTCTTTATAAGGAAATGAACAAACTACTAAGATGAGTTATCTCCAAAGGAGAGATCCAGCTCATGCTCTATTCACTGAAAGTAATATTATGAACAGTTTCCAATTGTAATTCAATTAAATTGACAAAATCCAAGTAGGCACAAGTGTCAATTCAGCTCTTCAGTACCTTTTTATTGTCTTAATAAGTAACAGATGATGAGAGAGTCTTATGGGACAACTCTCATTGTTATCCCATTTGCTAACATATCTTAATAACAATTGTCAGAACTTCAAATCTGAAATCAATCTCATGGAAGAAATTCACAAACACACATTTTGATACACGTATACTCAGAATGTGCCTTCGCTTTTAATGAACAGATGCCTGCATGTGGTGGAAGCTACATTGCTGCAGGCTGGTGAGACACCTACAACCATGTAATACCTCGATCTAATGTCATTGCTGTATGACAGCCAACTGACTGACCACGTCCATATGGCAGGACAGATAAAGTCAGAAACACAATTCACTGAGAGTCAAGAGGGGGAAATACAGCCCCAAAAGACAAGCAGCTACCACGAATTGTCTTTCTGAAACAAATACCACTTACACTGCTTCACAGCCTACTTTGCATTAGGAAGATTATGATAGTTCATTGCATATTGGTCCTAGTGAGAAATTATGTCCAGTTGTCCAGTATAACCCATCACTGTGTCTTTTAGAAAATGTTTAAAGAAAGTTAATCATCTCCAAGTTCCTGTCAGCATAAGCTGTTTATTGATGAGGGTGGGGAAAACGAACTCTTCTATTTCATCCAGCAAGAAGTGGTTGATAATGTCATTTGGAAAGTGTTACTGGAGAACAATTAAGACTAAGCATGTGATTTTGGATGGAGATGTTGAAAATTGTTTAATCTCTGCAAGTTTTTGGGCTAGAACCACACAGGAACCATACCAACTGATACCAACCACTGTTATCTATCCTGGGTTAGGTTTGGTGTGATGTAATGCCAGGATGTCAGTGGCTCTCTGAACTGCTAACACTGCTGGGTTTTATCTACTGCACTAGCTCTGAAGTGACACAAACACATGGACTCCCTGGAAACATGATCCTGAGCTAACAGGCTGAGAAACATGATGTGCATTTTTATGCCATGCTGTATGTGCTATTTCAATACTTTATAAAACCACCCGTGTGTCTGGCTAATAGCATTGTTCAGTGTTCCAATGCATTTATTTATTTCCATTTATCTTTGGGTTTGTGATTTTTCCTGTGCTATGCCAATGAGCTTTGATTTTATTTAAGATACAGTATTTGGAACCTGCGGCAAAGATTAATTTGGAGAACTTAAATGAAAAAGACCTCAATTCTAATCCCTGAGGTTGATGAATGAAAATGATGGTCATGAATGAAGGAAGCTGGAAGTCCCTTCCTCAAACATTGTTGAAAAGGTGTGAACCAAAAAGGAACAAACCACCTGAAGGATTCAATACATTGCTACAGTCTTCTTAAAGAATTCCAAGCAACTTTTTTTTAGGACAAAGTGTAAGTAAAATAAAATAATATATTGATTCAAAGCCACAGATGATACTTATAGGAAATTAACCCAACAATGGTTGTCTGGCAATACTAAAGAAGGACAGAAGACATTTGACATGGATTTAATCAAGTTGCAACACTATTATTAGATGTCTGGGACTACCCGACAGATAAAAGTGTACAGTGCAGGTAACCCCATGTTTATTCCACAATTACCATGGGGATTTTTACCAGCTCCCCCTTTTATTCCATCCACGTCCCTCCAGCAAATCCATTGCCAGGACCTTACTTTACCTTATCCACTGCCTCCCCTCGTAGGAGGAACAAGGTGGGCTATAATAATGGGGGTTGGCTCCTTGCCACACCAATCATAAGAGTCCTCAACCGCCCCCTATTTGCTCCTTTACCAAACACGTCTTTTTAAGTTCTTTTCTAAGCCATTTATCCGGTTGTATACCTTTCCTATGGAGTACCTGCACTGGACATCCGCCCTAAATAAAGATTAGAAACTATTGTCTTAATATCCATTTTTGTAGAATGAAACAGAAATGTTATTTTTTTTTCAGGTTCTCGTAAAATTCCTTTGAAGACTGATCTCAATATAGAACTAGGCAAGAGTGAAATTGAGAAGGTAATTTTAACACAAAGCCATAATCATATAAACACATATGAACACCAAATGCTTCTGGTAAAACAGGCTACATAGAATAAATCCATGTGCACCATTTTCCTTACTGAACAAAACTGAAATGGATCTGCTATTCATGTCCATAGCAAATAGGAGAAGACATCAGGAAGGAAAGACAAAACAGTGAACAAAATCTTCTGGAGATCTGAGCCAAGTTTTCTGAAATTGGATGGAGAGTAAAAAAGACCAAACTATAGTACGTGTGAAAAAAATTATCAGCTTGCTTCCCCCTGAAGAATACTCAGTTCAGTCAAAAGGAGGAGGAAAAAAGAAAAGGTTTAATAAATGAAAAGTACTTCACTTATTGCAAATAAAACTATTATAATAAGATGTCCAAAACAACATTGAAAAATATCAAATTTTAAGATTTCAGAACTTCTCATTAGTTATTTCTCTTCATGCCGATGACACATTGTTCTAAACACCTTTATTGATAACTATTGTTTTACATTGTGACCAGGATGTAAATGACTTACAAGAATTGTGTGACACATTGTATAACCCTGCAGCATTACAAGTTACTTTCCTAGTTTATAATTTACATATTAATGTGGTTGTATTTCAAATGTTTTTCCCAATTTGAAAGTTTTTACCAGTTTGACGGATTTACTATATCTATATTGAGAGAGAGAGACTTTTAGAACTGGTAAAAAGTTTCAAAATAACTGAAAGTATGTAAATGTATGTATATTGTTAGCATTTTTCACAAATCATAAGTAGTGATGATCAACTCTAAATATATCACTTCATTAGAAGAACAATTTGTCTCTCATGTAGAAGATCTCCATCTGAAAAGCAGGCAATTGAAACAAACACATTATTCAGGCAGCTGTTTTGTCAAAAGAAATTCAGTTTGTTTTGCCACTCAGATCCAATGCTGAATAGCACTGAGGGCAGTACTGTAGGTTCTGAGGGCAGGATGAGTCCCTTTGTAACACATCATAAGAGACCCTGCCTCTGCACTGAAGCCTGCTTCCTGCAGTTGTTTTGATATTTCCTCTATATCCCAATGCCCCTCTTCCTGGTTGGCCAGTAAGTGGTTGATAAGGGGAGGGTAGAACACAGTTGATATGCACTTTACCACTAATTTTGCATTCAGGAGCAAGGAAAGAATTTCAGAATCGCAGCTGGAATCATCAATCTGCAAAGAAAGAAAAATACACAAAAATGAAGACTGAGTTATTGGTTACATCCATAGATTTTTTTTTGTAAGGCCACAAGGGACCATGACATTATAATCATCAACTATGACCTCCTCCAATATGCTTTTTACTTGTGAAGCAGCAATGGTAGGATGTTCTGCATAGCGTAATAGCAATAGTGATATATACTTTACACGTCCAAGGCAAACCTTTAACAGTCATAATTTATTTTATTAATAAAACCTCACATGAGTCTTACAGATATACCCATTTCAAACTAAGGAACAAAGAAACTAAATAGAAGGTAGTGCAGAGTTTGGAATAGATTCCCAGTATCTTCTCTATATACTAGAAAATTCCCTTTCTATCTGTACGTTAATAGAAGGATTAACAGAGATTCATATGGGAGATCGTAAGGTAAAACTATATTTTCTGACACACTGAATTGTGTGCACTATACAGGCAAGTGTTTGAACAGAGCTCAGGACCAGAACCCATAACCAGGCTCAGATATTCAAAGTCCAAAGAACCCAACAGCTCCCATTGTGGCATACAATGGGTATGGAGTTCTTTTGAAAATTGGGTCTATATCCGTATGGACAATGCTACAGGATTAAGTTTTTAAATTCAATTTTAGTGAATTTAGCAGATAAATCAGATGTAAGTTCCTAGAAAGACAACACTGCTTTAATGGCACAAAGCATCTTAACGTCTCCAATGTCCAGAAAAAAAAACTAACAAGCAACAGAAAAGAACGTTGTAAGAAGTATGTAGAAACTGCCTTTCTTTCAATGCAACCCATCAGATAAAATATGAACAAACCAATTAAACTGTTTAATAAATAATGAGTGATTTCCTGACCAGATATTTTTTTAAAATTTAAATTCCATGTCCCTTTTACTCAACATTGGTCCCATTTTCCAGAATAACTGCCCACTACATTTTGATGGCTGGTAGAGCAGGCAGTGTTAATGGCACTCATATTGTTATCTGAAGTGATTTGGTACAGCAGCACAGCTCTCCCTCTTCTAGCATATGTAGCTGAATCTATGACATCTCAACGGAGAAGTGACTATGACATCTTGGAGACATTTGACAACTTATTCCTAGGCAATTTTTGACTCAACCAGAATCATAAATCATTTCATCCTGATTTTTCAGGACAACATCCAACATTTTCTTGCCTATCATTTCTGATTGTCTTTTTTGTCTCTAACTATACAGCTAAAGCAGCGCAGGGCTTAGCTTCTCAGTGTTTTTGTTAAACTGGCAGGTTGAATTCCCCCTCGTCCCTCTAAAGCATCAGGATGGACATTTCTTGGTTAGATCCCAATTTCCTATTTCATCATTTCACTTCCATTTCTCAGACAATAGGGGGAATTACCAGCTCTGTGCCTTTGTCTGGGAGATTAAATATGCCTCAGGTCCAGTGAGCCAGCAAACCAAACTTAGTGGCTAAGGACAGGTCTATACTACCACTTAAGTCAATCTAACTTGCATTGCTCAGGGGTGTGAAAAAGACATCTCCTGAGCGATGCAAGTTACAATGACCTAAGTCCCGTCCACACTGGCACTATGTTAGCAGGAGACGCTCTCCCACCAACATAGCTTCCGACTCTCGCGGAGGTGGAGTAATTATGCTGATGGGAGAGCATTCTCCTGTCTGCAGAGAGCAGTGGTGCCAAAACTTTTTACTTCGGGCCTCACCTTGCCCCTCTCCATGCCCCCCCTGGAGCTGGGAGTCGGGCCGTGACTCTGGGAGGGGAAGGGGATGACATGGACAGGCTGGTAGCCCTGCCTGGACCCCAGCTGCCCTCACCCAAACATTCCTCCCTGCCAGTTTGGGGACCTCCGGCATAGAGCATCTTCACCAAATGCACAAAAGTGGTGCAGCTGCAAGTAGCGCTTCTAGTGTAGACCTGCCCTTAGACATTGCTGTTTCTCAAACCACAGTGGCTACATTGAGATGTTCACTCCATATGCAGAGGAACACGAAGAATTCAAAAGAAGCCTATGCTGGATCCTGCTGCTCTTGAAGTCAGTGGGACAGCTGCCATTGACTTCAACAGGGATGAGACGGAGCCCTAACTGAAGAAACCACACAAGTTATTTTAGAATGAACTTTATTATCTTTAGATCCTTTCACCCTTATGAATGTAAGCATCTCTCTCGTTAAAGAGATGATGGGAAAAGTCAGCATGATGCTTTATCTTTATGTATGATACAGAAAAACGTGCAAGAACCTCTCTTTCTTTTTTTAAAACACAGGAAAAGAGACAAAATATGGAAACATGTCAGCATGCCAAGAATGTTCATTTAATGAACCATACTCCTTAGATAATAGGCTCCAGGTACAACTACCTTCTTTCTTTGAATTTGCCTTAAAAATTACCCTTTATTATTATTGGTTTATTAATTAATTTCCCTCCCTTAGGGACTTTAGAGACTGTTGTAGGGGAAATGATGGATTTTTCAAGGTAAAATGAAAGACAGGAGCCCTGATAGACAAAGATTTCTAACCAGCAGAGGAGCAAAGATCTGGTAAAGCTTTCCAAGGAAAGCAGGGGAGCAAAAGCCCTAACTTCTTTTTAAGACTGAACTTGATACATTTATTGAGGGGATTGTATGATCAGATCACAAACAATGCATATGGCCCATCTGTGACTACTATTAGCTCAGGGTCTAACTGACCACCATATCTAGTTGGGAAGGAATTTCCCCCAAGTCAGATTGGCAGAGACCCTGGTGGTTTTCCTGTTCAGCATGGGTCACTCATTAATTTAAACTAGGGCTGTCAATTTATTGCAGTTAATACCTATGATTAACTGAAAACAAAATTAACACACTAATTTTTTTAATGGTGTTAATCCCATATCTTTGGGCAGGGATGGAGACAGGCATCGGCTGTGGAGGGACCTGACAGTGTCCAGTCAGGTGCAGTAACCCAATCCCCTTCCAGAGGGTGGGAAAAGGAGAGGAGGGAGAAAAGAGGAAGTAGTTCCTATCCCAGCTCTGGCTGAGAGGTAGAGATCCTGACCTGCCATGCCCCAATGCCCCCGGCCTGCCCCTTGCTCCTGGGACTGCCCCCCGCAACATTCTGTGTCCCACTGCCCCCGGCCGGCCTCTTGCTCTGGGAACCGACTCCCCCCTGCCTCCTCAGGCACTGTGCTCCCCTGGCAGGCCCCTCGCCCAGCCCCCACCTCTCCTCTTATTCCGGGGACCGACCACCCCCACACCGTGACCCATTGCGCCCAGCTGGCCCTTTGCTACAGGGACTGACATCTCCCTCCACCCCCGCCCCGTGCTGTGCCCCCTTGTCCCCAGCGGGCATCTTGCTCCAAGGACCAACACCTCCCATGCTGTGCCCCATTGCCCCTGGCCAGCCCCTCGCTCTGGGGAGTACCCCATAGAGAACAAGTGCATGGCAAGCTCAGCCTCTCGCCACCAACCTCTCCTCTCCGCCACATGCCGAATTCCTGAGGTAAAATCCATATCCTCCCTTGCAAACAAGGGTTTGCCCAGTTAAAGGGAGCCCACCTAGCTCAGTAAAAGGACGCAAGCCCCAGTACCAGTAACTACCATTCCAGAAGCAGCAGCAAGGCACCTCTCTCTCACCCTCCTCCTGCACAAGTCATTGCTTGCTCCCTACCCTAGCCTCCCCAAACACTGAATGCAGATTTCTAAGATTAAACTTTCTTCCTCTTTGGATAGGAGGTGAGCCTGGTGAGCTCAAAAACCCAACCAAACAGGAGCAGCACGAAAAATTCACCCTTCTCCTGCACAACCCACACCCCTCCCATCTCCAGAATACTGACTTTCTGAGGTAAAAAAATCTTACCCCTCAGTAAGCTGAGACTCCTCTAAAGGAGAAGAAAAAGTAGGACTAAGTGCACTGGTAGGCTCTAAAGTTGTATCTTGTTTTATTTTAGAGTGCAGTTATGTAAACAAATAATAATTCCACATTTATAAGTTTAACTTTCATGATAAAAGAGATTGCACTACAGTACTTGTATGAGTTGAACTGAAATACTATTCATTTTATCTTTTTTACAGTTTAAATATTTGTAATAAAAAATATATAAAGGGAGCATTGTACACTTTGTATTGTGTTGTAATTTAAATCAATATATTTGAAAGTGTAGAAAACATCCAAAATATTTAAATAAATGGTATTCTATTATTAACAGTGTGATTAAAACTGCGATTAATGGCTTGACTGCATTAGTTTGAACTAAAATGGTGGATTCCCTGTAACTTGAAGTCTTTACATCAAGATAGGGGACTTCAGAGGTTATGGGTCTACTACAGGAGTGTGTGGGCAAGGTTCTGTGGCCTACAACATGCAAGAGGTCAGACTAGATCATCATGATGGTCCCTTCTGGCGTTCAAGTCTATGTGGTACAAATCCCCGACCCTGCATTTCCCTTTTATTTCATTTAGATACATGTTGTACTTCTCACTGACAATCTTCATGCTGACATCTTTAAAATACATTTCTTGATTAAGAACTTTTTTAAAATCCTTGGCACATTATCAATCTGTTGCATGAAATTATCTCCAGGGATGCAAAGCTAATTATTTCAGTGAACAGTAGTTCTTGCCTTACTCTCTGGAGGAAAATTCTAAGAACTCTAAAAAATCAGATGGAGTTACCATCATGGGTTATAGCTGGATTTTAGTTTTGTGCTGTGTGGCTCAGAACACATCAGCTTGTGGATGTGGTAAAGTGACTAGTTTTCAGGTTTTAAACACATTTTGGCTGGTAGTGCACAGATACATTATAGACATGTAAAGCATGAATTATTAATTATAATTTGTATTATTGTAGCGTATTGTAGCCCTAGTCACGGACCGGGACTACATTGTGCTAGGCACTGTACAAACACAAAACAAAAAGACTGTCCCTGCCCCAAAAAGCTTACAATTTAAATATGAGACAAATACTCCATATGCAATTTTATGGAACACGTATACACATGAAAAATACCCACAAACCTCA